ATACAATAGAGATAACATTAAAAATTAATATAATGGTAAGGGAAGGGAATATGCAGGATGCTTTTTACTTGGTTAGCTAAGACTTTAGTAGTAGTACATTATTTTAGTACATTATTTTGGTACAATCTAGGTGGTAGTAGTACATTTGTTAAACTTTGTGGATTGATAGTGGGATTATTTTATTCTGATTTTGGGTGGGGGGCTGGGGGGCGAAGAAGTTTAGTAGTGAGAGTCTGTGAGGGACAGTATCATCAACCTGGACCAATGATGAGGGGGATGATTTACCAATTGAATTTTGATTGGGAAAAATGATGCCACTTGCCACATATTGGGGTTGTGACGTCCACTTTCATTAGACATGACAAGTCTTACCTAAAAATACCCATTAGCATGCATGTCACCACTTATCAAAGTGTTAGATCATAAAAAATTTTACATACTATTTATTAAATTCAAAAAAAAATATTAATTTTAATATAACATAAGTCTAAAATAATTTTAAAAATACAATACTTTTTAAATGATTTATTTGGACTTGAATGGTAATAGATGAAATCTGGGCCTCAACTGTCACCTGCATCCATCTTTTGACTTTTGGGGACAAGTAGTGTCATGAAGCAATTATTATTATTATTATTTTTTTACAAAAATAATAGTTAGAAATTAAAGATTAAGAGTTAAATTAATATCTTATTCTTTCAATAATTGATTAAGATATAATTCACCGACAGTCCTTGAGTTGCAGCATAAATGGATCACGAAAGAGAATGCATGAAGCAATTAATTGAAACCAAAAGAATTGAGGAAACCATGAAGCAATCTTGGTCGGGTCCTGGGTTGGTCACCTATTTATCCTCTTTTGAACCACCCTTCACTTTCAAATTTACTTTTCATGAATATATAGATAGAAAAAAAAAAGGAGTAAATTGTTGTGTAAATTATATTAAATTATATAATATTAATGATTAAATTTCAATATATGTCCTATTAATGAAAAAAGATTTTTTATTTAATAATTAATATTATATAATTCAATTCATCATTTAAATTAAAAATATTACTTATTTTTTAATAAATTTACGAATAATCATAACATTCTATTTAAAAACAAAGAAAATTATACCAAAAATTCAAACATTAATTTTTACTTAAAAGACAAATGATAAACCACTTAGCCTAAATAGTATGAAACTAAAGAAAATATGTTACTTATTTAGACATACAATACATAAAAATTAAATACATCCAATCTTAGTGGTCGTTGGTCAATTTTTGACTTTCAGCTTTACTTTTAAGCAACCAAAGCTTGATGCTAATTTTACATAGCAATAATTTATGAATACTCATTCCATTAAACGTACAAGCAATTATGCATCTACCCAACGATACATGATTTTGGTGAGATTTCAAACTCATTTGTTGCTTAGTTGACATGTAATTAGTGAAATAAGATGAATGGGTTAAAACAGCACATTAGTCAATTAAAATATAGAATCTTTTACCAACACCCTGGACATACAGATAGTGTGACTCCTTATCTCAAAACTGCAACAGCTCAACCTTAAAAAAAAAAACAAGATTAATGCAGCGTCACTTGGTCATTCAACTTCATAGATAGATTGTAATTGTATCTTTTCTCCTTTTTATTGACCAAGATGCAATTCTAACTTGTGAATATACAAGAAGGTAATTCTTCAAAAATCTCTCAATTCTCATGCGTGAATTAATGACTTTCTATAATCAAAATAAGAAATAATGTAATGTGGACTGAGTATGATATTATATAATATCATTTGATAAACTAAAAAGCATGTAATATCATGACGAATTTACGTGCACCTAAAACCATCCCCCCATGGATGCTAGAGAAATCACAAGAAACTACCCTCTCTAATCAAATCTAAATATAAGGGCTGAAGCATTAGCAATGGTTCAGCCAAGATAACTACAAAAAGATATCATTCATTTTACTGGGGTCAAAATACAGGTATGTTCTAGAATAGTCTTCAGATATTTAGATACCAAAAAGATAAAATGGTTAATGTTATAGTTACAACATCATATAAAATTGTAAACTAACAATCTTATATATGATATTTAATGAAATATAATATAATATTAAATAAGTGAATACATATAATATTGTAGGTAAACTCTAAAAGAAAAGACCTAATTATATAAGAATATATCATGTTGTAAACTTATAATATCATGTAATATTGTAACTATAATATTTTGAAAGATAGAATATACATCATTTCTATCACTTGATCAACATCTAACTTTCTAACTTGGCTGACAACTTTGTAAGTATCATCATGTCATATGTATACAGCATAGTCATTCATCCATCAAGCATTCAAGTAGGAATACTTACAAGACGCAAAACATTTCAAGGACGCAGATTCTAATGTCCTCAGAACTCCTACAAAAAGTTAGATTCCATAGAAACCTCCAGAAAAAACTGCACCTCCCTTGGCTTGAATATTACTGCTAACAAAAGAAGTTGCTAAACCTCTGGCAACTTGACTAGTCAGTTTAGTTCAGGAACTTTCCCCAATTAAGCTCCAGTTGGCCAGGAATTCTTTTCAACAGAAACTTGAAAATGAGTTTGCCAAATTCTCCTCTTTCCTGCCAGAAGGTATCCACAACGTACAACCCATCATAGACATACTTGTAGTCCTGGGAGTTCTTTCCCTGGAACTTTCGAATCACCCTCACCGGAACCTTTTCTTCCATGCTACCCTTCAATGCAAGGTTTCCAAATTCAAGCTTTTGATCATTAAGCTTGCCCTTGCCAGTAGCATTTGGATTTCCACCATGTCCACAGTATATCAGTGTGTGAGAAGGACCCACATCATTGGCATATCGCCCAGAATCAACAATGCTGGTGGCTAAAGTTTTCCCATTTGGCAACTTTATATAATCTATACCATTTAAGAACTGACAATGAAGGCCAATAATTTTCAGTTCAGCTCTATATAAAAAGGAATCTCCAATTCTAATTCCTGGAATATGGCCAAATTGCTTGTTTTCATTAACACACTGGGTCAGTTTGGCTGCCTTCAGATGATCACTCCAGTGACTCTCACCTTGGTGTTTCTTTCTCCGTTCTCCTGAGATCTTATTGAGATTTTCCCTGAAAACTTTAAGAGCCTCTTTCACCCTTTTCCTCCGAAGACTCCATTCAGGTCCAGTAACAAAAGTCTCTGTTCTGTATCCCAGAAATTTCCCATCAAGCAGAACTTTCTTCTCAATATTGCACTTTGGTTCTTTGTCTCTTTGAATTCGACGCACATGATACATGATTAGTACTGTTATCATCAATACCCAAATGTTAGAATCTTAAGGAATTTGGGAACTCAAAATTGAAAGAACAGAGCATGTATCTATCTAACTGCAACTACGCCAATTCCAAAAATGCTGAAATGTCTGCAATAGAGCAAAGAACAGAGAGAGGAGCAAGAAACACATATCCACTAACATACCCAATAAGACAGATGAAATGCTAAGCAAAAACCAACATAACTAACATGCAGTCCCGGAAATTAAAGAAATTTGGGAACCCTAGTTGAAAAAACAGAGCATGAATCAGGCTCAAACTGTAACAATACCAATTCTGAAGATGCTCAAAATGTTCGCGAAAAAGCAAAGAATGGAGAGCAAATGGCATTCCAGAGAACATGTAAAACAAAACCCACATATACATA